CCCTGACATGTGCTCTTGAAGAAATACCATCAAGACAAATTAAATGTAGTTCTTGTTATTTGAAGGATGCATTCAACAAAAGTGCCTCTTGTAGCAGAGCCGTGTCTACCCTGCGTCTACATGCGTACTAATGCATTGTGCTCTGAGAGGCCTACGTATGTGCTGATTGAAATCACACTCCCTTTTACTGGGAGATGTTTATGTGCTTTGATCAAGGAAAGTATATGAGGTGTCAATCACCCCATTGAGAAAAGTGCCAGAAAAATTGCTGTATTTATTTTCTCCACAGTGTACGGCAGCCGCATGAGCGTAGACTTGAATAACAATAGACTTCAATGTTGAAAAAGCATCAAAATGACTCTGTAAAACATTTTCAAAATCCAGTTCTCCACTAATCAAGCACAGTATGTTCCAGTCAGTGGCCAGCATGACTCTGCACTCAACTGTGCACAAAACAATCATATGGCTAGAACATTGAGCATGACAATTATATAAGGCAATCAATCTACAGTGAGTTATAAAACCACTGGTCTTTCATTAAAAATAACTCCATTCATATCCCATTATCTTGGCTTCATACGGAAACGAACAACAGCCTCAGGGTGAAAGTCCGGTTCATCCATCAACCCCGATCTCTTCACCACGCAAACTTTACAGATTTGGTGGCCTGAATTGAAGTGAGTGATGCAAGTTCCCCTCAAATGGACCTCTTTTTTGCATTTTTAACACAAATTGTGTTCAAGCATTTTTGTCATCAAAGAACCACAAGAACGCGGTGAGGATCGACAATGAAAATGGATGTTGAACAGCTTGTGCTTACTTTAAGCAAAGCCAGTTAGTTTGTATAACGTTCATGGACTCTTTATTATCAGCATGTGAACATTGGCAGAACAATTCAACTTACCAAATCGTGAATGAGAACCCTGCCATCACTAAATCTATTAATATAAGCCATGCAGTGAAGATATAAAGACAGACAGCCTTCTTTTATCTCCAGGTGGCGTGAAAGCAGAGCTAACATCTATATCAGTTAAACAAAGCAAATATACCGTTATGGCTCATGATTTATTATTCTTTAATTGGACTGTGAGACAAACAAGCTCTTTCTTTCACACATGCACTGACTGCAGATTATATATCACTCTTTATACTGCGCTACCTGACTTGACTTCCTCCCTTACTCCTGCCAAAACTACAGCGAGGTAGAACATGGTTGACTCGTAGGGCCACTGACCAAGCTGCCGTATTTGAAGAGTTAGATGTGAGAACGGGCCGGCTGAGTTGTTTAAAAAGTTTCTTTGCAGATGATTGTTTTTGCCTTTGTTTGGCTCATTTGTTCGCAAGCAGGCAAACAAAGGCACCTTTCAGGCCTGCAGAGATACTCTCATTTAGGGTTGGTGATTTGGGAGCACTTAGTGTGTTCTGTCTCTTCCTACAAATGTGCAATTAATCAGCTTCTAATTGAAGTTATGAGGGCGTTTGTGTGTGTGTGTTTTGTGTCTGGCTTGCTCATTTTCTCTGAGATGTTGACCCTTTCAAGTACACTCATTAGAGCACTAGTCAGGCATGGTTGCCTATGTTTGTTCTGCTTTGGCAGGAGCACAAACAGACTGGTAGCCCCGTTTGCCTCCATGTTGTCTGCCCTCAAAGTCACAGTTCAAAAAGAACCCAAACGCAATGAGAGGCTGGCGTTTCAGGTCCAGATCTGCGTCACTAAAGCTTGTAATTTCATTATAATGAGTGCCAGATTCAGCTTGTTTCTTCCTTTTAAACTCTGACAATTATGAGATTGATTGGATTGAACCCAAGAGACGGTTGAAGATAACATAGGGCAGACAGAGGGAGTTAGATGTTCACATGGGAACAGAGGAACGGGGATATAGCGGCATTGAAGAACTAAAAAGCATCAAAATATATGTATTTATAGATTTTAGAACTTTTTGTTTTGCTGCTAAAGAAAGATTATCTGTACACATAGAAGTAAAATAAAGCAATGACGATTCTTTTGTTAATTAATTGTCTTTTTTCTGTCAAAAAGAACAGATAAGAGTACCAATAAGGAACCGAACCAATCAAATCCTGACGATACCCATCCCTAGCTGTCCACCCAAACTATTATGCAGTTTGCTGCAGCATAGTGTGAGATTAGCCCTGGACAGACGCAAAAGGAACTTGACACAAGCACGGACACAAGCACACATGCGAGCGATCACATGATCCTCTTGGCGGAGATAATTACCGTGTGTCGAATGAGTTTCAGAGGTTCCCAATTCGAAAGGTATCATAATTGCTCTCTAGCTGTCAACATGCATCGTCCCACCATAGAAATACATCTCGGGGTAATAGGTAGGTGTCAATAATCAATCACAGAGGTTGACAATTACATAGATTAACAAATTCGAAGAGGTGTCGTCCTTTCAGTGTAGCAGGAGCAAAGACCAGTTGTCATACATATAAATGATATTTGAGCTTGCTGTCCTGATAATTGTTTCTCTCTCTTTCACACACACATATTCTTTCAAATTGATTGATATGTCAAAATGAAACGCTTGGGGGTAATTTTCCAAAGGCACTTGTCCGTGGTTGCAGAAATGGGAACATCTTTACTGACAGACTTGTGATTTATGATGAAGTTTTGATGAACTTTTGTGCTATTCAAGGTTAATGTGAAGTCAAACACACAAGCGGAGAAGAAAATGACCATTTATGAAGCAGACCACTCTGGCAGAGATGAAAAGACTTACACTGAGCTCCGACATCTTTTCAGTCTGACAAGAGTGATGCTCTGCAGTCATTGAATTTGATCTCATTGATGTTATTCTTTGTAAAAGCGCACTATTTGAGGCAGACACAACTGCAATTTGATTGTGCTTGCATAATGACAATACAGTTCTTGATTGATTGAGCTTACCCAGCTCTACATTAGACTAGCTAATCATTTTTAACTTTATTCAAAAGTCCAGCATGGGGCTACTCCTCTGGTTGCAAAAAGAAGTCTGGATGGATGGATGGCAAAAAGGCCGTAGTGTTCAGTTCGGTGAGAGGTTGAGCTGAACAAAAACACACTCCCACAGGCATCCATTGCTAGTTAGCTTACAGCTGAAATACAGCTGGTGCATTGGCTTTTTGATGCCAATCAAACACACAGCGACGGTGCACCTGTTCAAATTCACACCTTGAGGCTTCTGCTTCTTATTCAAACCCTACTGAACATGGAAACAGCGAGAAAACAAACTGAAACTAGAAAAACACAAAAACTCTGTGAAGGCTGCAAAACCTGCTGAATGTGCTTTATAATGATGAAAATAACTATAATTTGTTTAACCTGTAACTGCAGTAAAATGCACATAGTTCAATTAAAATCACAAACAAACACGGCGGGTAAGATTAACACCCTACGATAACACCTGTCAGTTTTAAACACAAGCATGAATTACAAAAACATCCATAATCCCACACAAAAACACTTTGTACATCCATTATATGAAGTGAAGCAGGGACATCGTGACACCTCGTCTCCATATTTGTGTGTGTGAGGCACAAAAGGTGCATGTGTGTGAGTGTATACATATATATATATACTTGTGTGTGTGTGAGTGTATACATACATATATGTGTGTGTGTTCATCAGTGAATGTGACAGAGTGCTTACTGCTGTAGCAAATAAGTGCAGAGCGAGTGTCTGGGGCAGTCCAGGGATCACACTGAACAATAGGACCACAATGCACTGCAGCTGCGATCAATTTAGGAAGAGAGGGAGTGTGTGAGTAAGTGAGGGAGATAGGAGGTGGGGGGGCCTGAGGTCCAATAATGGAAAGGTCACAGGTTTGATCCCTGAGGAAGCAGAGACAAGACTTCCATTAGAGAAAGAACTCCTGCACAGTTTGACCCCGTCGCTCTGCTCACAGTTTAGTAATCATGTTTAGACTTGAGCTTCCTGTGGAAAATAATAAATAGCAGTGACGATGTTCCAATCACATCCGTCTTTTGTTTATTCGTCAAAGTAATCAAAACAAAAATGCAGATGTGAATATTTGTTTTTCTTCTTCATTTCCCCTGATTACATTTTCAAGGTGTTCGGAGTTATGTAGATCAAAAATGTACTTATTAAAGAGAAAAGTAAATTAAGAAATAACTGCAGTAAAGTAAATGGGTAAATAAATCAAAAAATTTAATTAATTTAAATTAATATGTTAAAACATGTTTTATAAAAAGGCATTAATAAAATAAGTTTGTAAAGATTTTAAGATGAATTCAACAGAAATGAAAAATGAATTGTGTAAAAACAGAAAATCCAAAAGAGTTGTTACTTTATCATTATTATTCTTTAATTGGATTTATTTCTCCTCAGTATAATTTGCTTTCACCTGCTGTACTGTTTTGACCTTTAAAACTATAAGAAAATAAAAAACCTGATTTATTTTCACTCTATAAATCAAATTATAGGGCATCAAACAAACCCTCCAAGATATTGCATCTTTATTCACTTGTTTATCTGCAGTTTATTTGACCATAGTATTCTTCAGTTTTCAGTCATCTTTGGTCTTCTATACCCCTGTTTCCATCAAAACGTCATTTTCTTTGGATTTTACAAAGACCATGACTGTACCGTTTTATCTGTAACCTCATGTGTGGAATGGCTTCGAGAGGAGACTTTAATGTCAGCTGTTTAACATCTATTGTCATGAAGAGTTGAGCAGGTGGACCCAAAGGCATTAGTCTAACGGCAACAGGAACTGGGAGAAGTAACTTTTAATCAAGGTAAGGTTCAACACTGAAAACCTCGACTTGAAAAGCAAACTAATGTGACGAGAGGATGAAGTGCAGGAATGAGGTGATGAGGCAGGAGAACCGGCAGGGAGCTGATTGTTTGTGAACAACTGAAGAGGCTGATTCAGAGCAGGTGGGTAGATGAGCAAAGGAGGGAAAAAACAACTAAATCCAGTCTACTTGACACAGTGACAGACTTTGACATTCATGCAACAGAGAACACAAACGAGAGGGACTCAAATTTCACTTTATTATAAAACATCGGAGGCCATATTTGCATTTTTCATTAATAAGCTGCTCTATAACGTATAATGCGTTCAGCGTCACATACAGCAGAGTGACGCACTCTTACATGCAAAGTAGCTGCAACAATAGACAATCTGTTATCCATTCCGATCCGTTTAGCCGCTTGTAATTAGTCAGCGACGACATTTATCACTACTTGCAGCGCTAAGCACACATGCACACACTCAACACGTAGCAGTCGCCTACTGATTCAGGTGGATGACTGTTGAATGTGTTTATGATTATCATGCAGCTGTCATTTTACATTTAAAATGGTATTTAAATAACTAACTTGTGGAGGTTTATATCGGTGCCTAACACCCTGTGTTCATGAGGAGATTGTAGATATCGTCACATTTCTGTTTTGGAATCTTATTGCTTACAATAAGATCAAATTCCCCCCTTTTGAAAAAGCCTAAAAAGCTTTGTTTACAACACGAAAGGTACGTTAATAATACTTGTATCTTGTTCACTTTGCTAACTAGATAAATCTTGTTCTGACCAGCAGTTAATGTGTCCTCAAAAATATCCACACTCAGTTTTATGCTATATACAATACAGCATCTTATAGGTACATTTTCATAAAAACATACATCGTTTGCTGACATGTCCCTGATTGTATATCCCTTTATTAACAGCAGAAAGGCATGGGCATTTACAGTGTTTAAGCATTAATATAAGCTAATGCGTGCAAACACACACACACACACACACACACACACATGGACATGCACACATTCACAGCACACACACACACACACACACACACACACACAGTAAAGGTTTGCAGTAGCTACCAGCGGAAGCATAACGTCTCATTATTAACGTAATAATAAAAAAACAACAACATAAATAGCAACTGTTCAAGTAACAGTGACACATTCAATGAACTGCTCTGTTAGCTTATAATGATCATGCGTGTGTATGACGCGGGTAAGAGCAGGAATTCACAGTACAGTACAGTGAGGCACATACTCTGCTTCCTGTTGCTCCGTCCATTAGAATGCATCGCTGTGGCTCGAGTGCTTGGAGCGGTGAGTTCTGGAGTGTTGATCCGAATTACATCAGGAGCTCGTCAGTGGTTCATTACCATGAGTTTGTCCTCCGGCTGTCACTTCCTGTGAGAAAGAGAGAGAGGGAGAGAGACGGAGAGAGAGAGAGAGAGAGAGACAGACAGACAGATGGAGAGAGAGAGACGGAGACAGAGAGAGAGAGAGGGCGCATTTTAGAAAATCTATAATGTAATTGAAAATCTTCTGCTGAGATGTTTGAGGAAAAGTGAAAATTCCAATTTTTTTCCACCTAAATTTAAAACACTGTAAAAGATGAAATAGCAAAGTAAAGGGATAACAATTTGAATTATAGTTCTGAGAAAACAAAGTCAGATTTGGCAAAAATCATAATCAGCAGCTCGGTCCTTTTTAAGTGTCATCTACCTGTTTCGATGCGGCCCGTATGTGTCCAGCATGAGCGTGCTGGCCTGTTCCAGGTTCAGCTGGCAGCGCTGCAGAAGCTCCTCGCACTCGGCTCTCGAGCGCAGGCCCAGACGAAACAACTGCTCCACCTATGACACGGACGACGGGGGGAGGCGTTTTAGGCAGGCAGGTCGGCAAGGTGTTCAGTGCGGACTGGACTTGTGTTGCATGTATTTTTGATCGTGTTGATATTATTCTACTTCAAGCACAGTTGAGCTCAGTCCAGAGCGTCACATGAGCAGAGCCACACCGCCACAATAAAATGCATATTGCTGCAATAAATGGTTAAAACCTCGTCATAAATCTGGATTGCCTAATTGCTTCTTCTCCTCTATTTTTTTGGATCAGCATGTGTACTGTAAGTTTGTGTTTTGGGATTTGAGATACTGGTATTTCCTAGGAATTCCTGCCTAAATGTACTAAAAAAACTACTTCCTGTGATCACAATTTTCCAGATATTAAAATCTAGAGAAAAAAATTCAGCTTATTTACATGTATTTTATACGTTAACTTTTTGGCAAAGGCTATTCTTGTACCTGGTAAAAACCTGTACTCAAGGGCATAACAGATGTGTAGACAGATGTGTATAGGTTTACCTTCAGATGATTTATGGCCTGAATAATGCTCCAGTTGTGAATTTGCAGAGCAGCCTGACACTCCTCCAGCGTGACACCGTGTACTGCTCCTTGGACCTGTCAATGATAACGTGAATGTATAATGAATGAAGGATTAAAGTTTAAAGAAACATGACTGGACCTATGGTTTGTTTGTATTTCAAACAATTGTAACTTCCATATCAGGAAAAGGACTTTTTTTTAAATAATCCTCTAAACTGTAAACAATTGCAAAGCCTTGAAACGTATATATTAATAATTTAACATAAAAAACAACTTTGCTCAGTCACTTGTACAATTAATCAAATTTGCAATTCATCAAGTTCAACACATTTTTCTAATTACCCAAAAGCACTTTGAAGTTTACAGTCAAACTCACACAAACTGTTATTAAACTATAATAAACTTAGTTTAATCCTAAACTAACATTAAAACAATCATCCATCCAGACAGTGGAGGAGCAGGAGATAAAGTCTGACTATGATGAGATCTGCTGCTTTGTCAGCATAAAATTAATAATCAATACAGGGACTTTTAAATGTTTTTAAAAAGTTACGTGAAGCTATGTGAAGATAAAGCAATGAGGAGGAAAGGAGAAGATAAAAACATTTCCTTTTCCTCTCCTTTACCTGTGCGACGCTCTGCTCCTGTTGCATGCTGGGAGCTGCAGTTCGCCCGTTGTTGTTGTTGTAGGAGGAGTTTGGTTTGGCTCCGCCGGGATGCTGAATCATGGGTTTCACAGCCGCCATATTGGCTGTTCCATATCTGACACAACGTATAGAAACATTTTCAACAATTTTCAACAATTAGAATCAATGATTCCAACAGATAACAATGTTTATATTTTATTTATGCTTCAGTGAGCAACACAAATGCAGCTCAGTGAGGCCGTCAGTCAGACAGCGTTTTATTCCTCTGTATTGAGTGACAGCTGCTCTCTCTCTCTGGGTGTTACGTGAGCTTTCGTTTTGAAACTGTTGTAATACCTCGTGAACTGTTAGTGTTTCTAGTATTTCAGGAACAATCAGACTGAGCTGGAGAAGCTGATTTATTGTAGAACATGCAGGAAACTTGTGGGTTGCTGATTGCTAACAAAACAATGTCTCATATTGACTTGGAGTTATTGATGCTATTGGCATATATTCCAAGTATCGCTTTAATAGAGCGAGCCTCTTAATGCTTTCTGTATAAACTTGAATTTTAAGATGTTTTGACAGTTAGACACACTCGTCTCTGTAAAGGTCTAGTGTGTACGATAGCAGATGCAACCAACTGAAACTTCTCCTGCGTGTTGGAGAACTACGGTGGCTGACGCAAAAACGTGAAAACACTGATTAGAATATATTATTATATTGCTGGCTAACCAAGATAGTTGGACAGTGTTTGATATCAGAAACACACCTTTCCAGAAAAGCTGGTCGCTCTGGCAGCGGGGCGGGAGTAGAGCTGTCAACCAGTGAGGAAAGGCCACGCCCCTCAGTAAAGGTGAGGGGATCCAGTAAGGAGCTTGATGCGTAGGAGGAGCCACGAGCTGCGAGCCGTGATGTGGCTTGAGCAGTGGAGGAGGACAAGTTGGAGGATAGAAGGGGACCCAGGTGTCCGGACGCCCTTCGTGGGGAGATGGAGAGGGGAGGAGGAGGCAGGGCCATGGGGTAGGAGGACAGCGGCGGAACCAGTGGGAGGGGGGACGAGGAGCGGGAGCCCGGCTGAGAGAATGCGTGGTCTCTGGGTGGGATCTGAGGGGGCGTGTCTTCCCCTTCGCCCAGGGAGATGGAGCTGGAGCGCGGCTGCGGGTGGGTGGTACGGGCGGTGAGGTTGCGCTTGGAGGGACGCAGCGGGGGGACGGGGCTGCGGGGAGGCAGCACCGGCCGGTCCTCGAAGCAGCAGGAGAAGGAGGACGTGGAGGTGGGGGAGGGAGGAGGCAGGTAGATCTGCCGGTGGGGGCCCAACGGAGCCAGAGGCATGGGGAGCGGGGAGGAGGGGAGGGAGCGGCCCGTTGACATCGGAACCTGCAGCTTCACCATCACCTGCACCAGACAGAAATAAAAGCAGTTGTCTGTTTGTGTGTATCATCAAAGATTACTTTGAAGACTACACGTTCATTACTTCTCTCTGTAGTTCTTGGAAGAGGTCGGCCGACTGCGACTCGCTCCTGATCGCCATAGTGCCGCAGGGCGTGGCCGCGCCCTCCTCGGTAAACCCCTTGTTGATAGACTGCACCTCCTGGTCCTCCGATTGGTCCTCGAGCTCAGTCGCGACCACGTCGTAAGATGGCTGAGGGAGAGGCCAGTCCAAGATGGACGGAGTGTCCTGAGGATGAGAATGATGGACAATGAAGTAAAAAAGTGATGCACAAGTTAAATTAAGCGGTGGTTATACATATGGATCCAATGTGGAAGTAGAACTTCTTGGATCGTTTCCATTTGTAACAATGCTTACAACACAAAATCCAGCCTTGGCTCGCTTCACATGTCTATGGTAAAGAAGCTAGTTTTACAAAAAACAATCTGGCATTGTTGTTTATTTAATATTTCTCATTCTTAGCGGACTTTAACGAACACCAGTTCCCATAAGCCCTCGACCTTTATGCTCAACTCCTAAACAACTTCACAAAAGGAGAAGATGACGACATTTCTATGTTGTAAACATGTTAGACAACGTATTAAAACTCCACCATGAATTCCAGCTTTGAAGGGAGCAATAAGATTAGAGGATGATGAAACATTCCTTTGAAACCCAAAGTAAACCGCTACAATGCACATGATCAATCACTGAGCATGAATCCACCACACTGAACCCGCCTCGGCCTCATCCAAAGACACTAAATGATTCCAGACATTTCTTAGCCAAAGGCCAACGTCTGGACTTTCTTTTGAGAGCGCAGACGGTGTGGGCTTGTCTTTGACTTCAGGATTATGTGAAGCTGGAGCACAATTGCTTTCTGTTTGTGTTGGCGTGCGATGGGAGAACGAAAAGTTCAAGAGGTAGCTGAAATCCCCAGATAAGGAATCATGTGCGAAAAGCGTAAAAGTGATCCCTGTCAGCTGAATGAATGAATCTGTATGTGCTGCTCCAGAAAAATGCACATCATCCTTCACATCGACTTCAGCGAGATAAACGGTTTCACAGAACAGAAAACAGCTGTTACGAAAAGGTCATGTCACAAACGGGGCTAACCGAGCTAGCACGACAGCTAGAGCAAGCTAATCTGCTAGCGTCTGTACAACCGGCTGTGCTAGCTGTTATAACAACGCTACGTATGCAGACCACACAGTGTTGTTTCATGTGGTTTTATGTTGCAGTGGATATATTTCAGCAGGAATCTCTGTTAAAAAAATAACTTTTCTAACCGTTTATTCTACAATCTATATTTATTGACTGTTATTCTGTACGTTACTCTGCACTTCACTGCTTTTTGCTCTTCTGGTTCGATAATAAACGACATTTTCTCAGTATTGTACTCCGTGAAGTGACAATAAAGTTGAATCTTATCTAATATATTTAAGTTTTTGAATATTTCTGCATTAATAATTTTATTATTCGTGCCCGTGTACTGTATGCATCTACTTTGCATGTTTCAATAAGTGCAATTTTTTACTAATTTTGTTCAATAATTTGTTTTTTGATTTTGTTAAATCTGTTGAAAAATAGCCTTCTGTCGAACTCAGGTGGTTTAACAACAACGTTTATAAATGTGCACTATCCCTGCTAAATAAACCAGCAAATGGAAAACATTTGAATCTAAGTTATGACGCTTTACCATCTTTTAATTGCTTACATGTGCCCTTCCATCACCCTCACATGCGTAGCTTTTACCCTCCTTTATTCTTAAAACTCACAGCAAATTATTCTCGCATCCAACTACTCTTCACTCTCTAACTGCACCTTCAGCGTGTCCTCATCCGGCTGCCGCGTCTCAGTGAGCGGCGAGGGCGTGGTCGAGCTGAAGCTGTCATCGGTGAAGTCGATGAGCGACACCTCGCTCTTGGCCGAGCGTACGCCGGACCCCTCCCAGGGTCGCAGCTTCAGCCCCAGTGACACTCCCAGCCTCTTCAGCCCCGAGGAGCTGCTGTCGTCGGCGTCGTCGTCGTAGTCGTCCATCACGGAGTCGTAGAATGGCTCTGCACACACACACACACACACGCAAACTCCAGAGTCAGGAAACATGTATTTAAAAGGAAAGATTGTAGACGACAGACTGCACAGGGGAAGAAGAGAAACACTCACTCTTCAGCTGGACGGCAGGTTGAGGCGGACGAGGAGGAGGTTGCTCTGATAAAGAGAGTTTTAGACATTTAGTGAGTTAAAACCACTCTGAAAGAAGAATGAGCTCAGTTTACTAAAAGAGAAGCATGTGTACAACAAAAGCCACATAGTATAAGCAGTGGTGGAAGAAGTTTACTCAAGTAAAAGTATTCCTTTACCGTCCCTTTTACTGCGGTAGATGTTTAGTTTTGTGCTAATTTTAACTTTTTTATAAACTGTTGGGTTGTTTAATCTACAGCGATACATCATATTCTATAAGATCATCATCATTTGTAGCGTCGCTGTCCTGTGAGAACCACATACCTCTAAGTAAACTTCACATGAGCTTGGAAAAAAAGCCGTTGTCAGCTTTGTGACGATGCATTTATCATCCAAGAGGCTTTTTAAGTCGTTTATTCAGCTTAAAGAAGTCGGAGAATTTTCTTAACACTCGAAAGAAAACTTCATCCTTCAGTTTATCAGAAAAAAGTACCTCAAATTTGAATTTAAGTACAGTACATGAGTACATGTACGTAGTTTCATTCCACCACTGTGTGTATGTGTTTAAATGATGAGATGGATTTACTCTTGGAGCGGTTGGGGAGTTTGGTGGGCCTGGCGGTGCTCGGGTCCACCCCGAGGACGTCAGGAGGGTCCATGGGGTTCCCCAAATACAGACTGAAAGGGAGCAGACAAGTAAATCACATTCAAAGAAAGCTGCCGCCGCAAATTAATTCAGCATCGGTTACTATATAAAGGCTACAATATGGAAGATTAAATGTGATTTATGACAGTAAGAGCTGCACACACTTGTGCTGCTGTAATCACTGCCAGTTAAAATGTTGATTCGAGCATTGAGGCTTTTTTTCTGTTCTTGGATCAGTTGCTGTGGATTTGAGCTCGGTCGTAAAGCAGCTTAACAAGTACATCATGTGTTGGTGAACTGACGCACTGCTGCACTCCAGTGGAGAACAAGCATTGCTGCAAAAGCACGTGGTTCAAGCTTGCATTATTTTATAGTGTATATTTGTAGCTTAAGTTTCATGCTGTGTTGTATGTATTGTTTGTACCTTTACTGTACTTGGGAGGAAGCAAAGACACATTTCCACTAAGGGTGGACAATGAAGTCATTCTAATGTAATACTTTATTTCGTTTACTCGTCTCCAATTTATCAAAGGGAAATCTGTGGTTTTAGATAAAGATAAATTAGTCAAGGATTAGAAAAGCAGTCTGCTACTCTTACAAAATGCGGTGTTCATCTATTCTGGCTTGTAAAATATTGGATTCTCTCCCCTGAGTTGCTGAGAGTTCATGACTACACAAACAACCGGCATGAACATGTGGAAAGATAAACCTAAAATATCTGTTATTGTGATGAAACAGGGTTCAACATGGACCACACTGGAAGTTTTCCCCCCCAATTCATACAGTGTTTTAGTTGCACATTTTGCGCTTTTTTCCCTACTAGACTAAAACCTTTCATTGACATTATATGAATAAAACTTATGTTTTATGAACTAGTGAGTATTATTAACCTGTCTATGCGATCTGCATGTCCCCAGCTCCTGTGAGGGTCCGTGTCTCCGTGTCCGGTGTGGATGAAGGAGTGTTTGAGCGGTCGGCTGATGTCGTGGGCTGACAGACCGGCGACCGACGTCACCACGTGACGAGGGAACTGACCGACACGCAGCGTCCCCTTGTTCTGACCTCGCCACCAGTAGTGCTCCGCCCTGAAAACACACACACACACACACGGACACATGAGGACAACAAAGAGAATAGCTTCTACTCTGTTTACCACGTGACATGTTGACTGATTTGTATAATCCGCATCCTCATATTCAACATCATTTACTAATAAGGGGAGTTTCCTGAGTGCAACAAATTGTCTCTGTCACATGATGAATGTACCAATGGCAGCAAATCAAGCTAAAATAATTGCTGACTTGTGGGTTTTCATTAGGGCAGCTAAACACACACACACACACACACACACATACACAGAAGCCACAATATTTATATAATGAGCCAGTAACAGGACAGTAATTACAATAATTTCCCACAATTCAAGGAATCCAATGACAACAAAAGATGCATTTGTTGTCTTGAAAGGATGATGTTCATTCTGCACTGACACACACAAGCAAGACTTTCAACAAACAGTCATTTCGTTGAAATACTGCTTTTGTGTACGCAAATTAAATTTACATTCTTCTTGGGTATACAGCACGTGTTGCATATCCAACTGACCTTCCCTCTATGATGGTGATGATGTCGTTCATTTTAATCTGGAGCTTGTCTTCCTCCTCAAAGTCCTGCAGCGCTTTCATATCCGTCGGCATGGTCTGCAGAGCACAAACACGCACTTACAGTTTGAGCAAACCGCTCCACAAGTCTCATGATTTACTACTGCCATGAGCAGGATCAGAAGACACAGAATACCTCAGGTCATCTTGTATAATGGTGATTTATTCCTTTGCTTGTATTGTCCTTTGTTTGCCCGGAGTATAACTTCTGTGTAACATCTATTAACTCCAGTGAGGGGCAATTCTGCTATTTTTACTTTTAACTTTAAAGTCAAATTTTGAATGCAGGACTTTTACTTGTAACACAGTATTTTGAGAGTGTGATATTGCGTTTACATAAGTAAATGATCTGAATACTACCTCGAGCAGGAAGTCTCTGAGGGCGATGAAAGTCGGTCTGTCCTCAGGTTTGGGGCTCCAGCACTGCAGCGTGACGTTGTAAATATCCTGTGGACAGTCGTCTGGTTTACACAGCCGCTCGGCGTCCACGTCCACCTTGTGGAGAATCTGCAAGCGGACACAATAACAGAACGCTGACGGGTCATTATTACCCGCTGAATGGTTATTTTTATCCAAAACATGAATTTCTTCCTCCCCTGAACTTTTTTACGGCAAACTAGAAAAGATGTGGGCACCTGGCTCCCATTAAGGCCCAGCCACGGCTCCTGTCCGTGGGTGAACATCTCCCACAGTGTGACCCCGAACATCCAGGTATCGGACGAATGAGAGAAAGTACGAGACTTCAGAGACTCCGGGGCGCACCTGCAGAGAGACAAGGACGAAGACGGAGACACAGAGAAAAAGAAAACGTCAGGGAGAAAGAAGAAACTGTGCAGAGCAACACCGGGACAGTTTGAATCCCTGGATGATGTGGTGTGAACCAGGCTGTTCTTCTCACCATGGGAAAGGGATTTTGTGGCCCTCCTCCATGATGTAGTGGTCGGTGTGTGTTGGCAGTGCTCTCATCAGGCCAAAGTCTCCGATCTTCACCGTTTCATTGGTGGACAGCAGAACGTTACGGGCGGCCAGGTCCCTGTGGAGGAAACGTCTCTGCTCCAGGTAGGCCATGCCGCACGCCACCTACACACCGACAGAGAGAGACAGTGGTGGAATGTGACTAAATACATCTAATCAAAGTACTTAACATTAGCAGATATTTGAGGTACTTGTACTTTACTTGAGTATTTCCATTTTATCTAACCTTATACTCTTTACTCCACTACATTTGTCTGATCTTATAGAATATGATTTGAGGGTTCATCACTTCCAGTTACTCTCGTGTGTGTTTAATCGTTTTGCTGTTTCACTGACCTGCACAGCGTAGTTACACAGAGAGGAGATGAGGATGTGACCCTGACGCTTTCTCAGACGATCCAACAGGGAACCCAGCGGGGCCAGCTCAGCCACCTATACACAAAATACTGCTCATCAGTATTTACACACCTTATTGGTGACTCAGGTGTCTACTTTTGCATGAACAATGAGAGTGTGTGTGTGTGTGTGTGTCTTACCATCTTCATGGGCTGTGTGAGGACGATGCCGTACAGCCGGATGAGGTTCTGGTGGCTCAGTGAGTGCATGGCGTTCACCTCCCTGATGAAGTCGTCCAGACCGTCCGAGTCCAACACCCCGGCCTTCAGACACTTCACCGCCACGGACAACTAGATCGGCAGAGAGGGAGAGACGATAACCTGAGCTTGCCTTCTCATACGTTCTGCACACTCTGCATCACGTTATGTGCGTGTTTCCTTTCTCACCACTCTGCCGTTGGGTCCGGTCCACTCTCCCCTCCGCACCACCCCGAACGTGCCGTCACCCAGCCGCTCTAACAGCTGCAGCTCCGACTCTCTGATCAGGCAGGTGAGCGAGGCCCCCGGCTCGCTGTTGGCTGGTGCCACGCCGGACGACGCCCCCTGAGGGAGGGGCTGCTGGGGGTCGGCGTCGGGCCGTTTAACCGGAAACACCTACAAGCCCAGGATTATTTCACTTTTTTAAAATATACACAGTCACTCTGCAACATGTGAGCTGTTTGTCAGCCTTGGAATTCAGTTATCTAATAGAAGGAATTTGTTAAAAGTTAGAATGTTGCTTATCTCATTTGGCATTCAAGCTTTTGTTCAGCTGGTGGTTTAATATCGTGGTTACAGAGTCGGAGAGTAAACATTACCAAATACAAGAGTGTGTGTGTGTGTGTGTGTGTGTGTGTGTGTGTGCGTGTGCGTTTGTACCTTGCTCATCCAGGACTTGCGTTTATAAAGGGCTCTTCTCCTCTTGACTGCCTCCCAAAGCCTCCTCTGACCTGCACCAAAACAACCACAAACACTGAAAGCATTTCATACGTAGACGGGACTTACTATAAGCATAAATCAACTTGAATGTCGTATTTTTTAAACATATAATAAGAAGACGAACCCGGGCGTCCCATGCCGATCTTCTCCAGGTCTTCATTCTTGACGTAGTCGAAGTGGGAGAGCCGCGTGACGTTGAGCTCGTCACGGATCCGCAGGAAGTACTGCTGCAGCTGCACATCTGTCAGCAACTCCAGCAGCCACTCTGTCCCCTCCTCACACTGCATCTGCACACACACACACACACACACACAGACACACGTGTACCTTGTGTTACTATACATGTGAGGATGCATTGACAGAGCGCCACAGGTGCATAACTGTGTTTTTAGTATGAAGCTAAAACGTGTGTGCATAAATTGAGTTATTGAGTGTGATGTTAATGAACACACTGTAATGTGCAGTGGAAATAGAGCAGCTATTCTGAGCTACAAAATCAATATTAAAAAAAAAAGTTTTCCCCCCTCAAACCCCCATAAAACCACAACTTCTTTAGTTTTAAACACTTGGATTAAATATATGTTTCATGTTAATTAGTGAGCTTTAAAGGTGCAGTGATTTGGACGGAACCAGGCTAGCTGTTCCCCCCTGTTTCCAGTCTTTATGCTAAGCTAAGCTAAACGAATTTTGTTGGTATTTCTTTGTCTGCAAATACTGATATCAATATTTAAGATTTAAAGTCTTGACATAAACAAACATTATCCATAAGGATCTCTTAAATTTGTGACATTTTATTGAAAAACAAACGTGTCAGTGCTCTCTGGTGGACAAACAATGTCACTGAGATGACGTAGAACACAATGAGATCCGTTATAATGCAGAAACACACATAAAAATAAGACTTAGGCCCAATATTTTGCTGCCCCAGTGCATGCTGGGAGGATTCCCAACATACCTACGTTTTGTAGCTGCAATCGCATGATCAGCAGCCCTCAACCAATCATATTAACACTGATCGTGGTTTTCAACTCTCTACGCGTTAAGCCTTTAATTCAAAATAAGAGCGCGCTGTTACTCGAGATAACTTCATCGAGATAACTTCATCCAGGATTAACAAATCAAACTGCTTTCAGAGAACCAAATTAGATTAGATGAAAAATAAACAGGATTGTTTTAGTCAGATAACAGCATGAAAAGCCTGAATTAGTCAAGAACTGGGCCCGGCAGGTTGGGAACTACTGGATTAAATTAAATTAGAATCAAATGGAGAATAGTCTGTAGTCAATCATCAATACACACACATTCACAAACACACTTGCATCCTCTCTCTAACACACACACACACACACACACACACACAGACACACACACACACACACACACACATACGCCCACTCTTTATCTCACACTGCATCTACACACATACTGTTATCACAGAAGAATCACTGCCATGTCCACCCACAACCTCACATTTTACCATTTGTGCCCCGACACTCTCTCTGATCCTCCCGTCTCTCTCCTCTTCGTCCTCATCCTCCCCCTCCTCCTCTCCTCTGGCGTAGGGGAGTCGCTGGTACACATAGCTCTCCCCCATACTGTACGCAGCTCCTCTCGTCCTCTGCTTGTCCCTCTCTCTCTCTCTCTCTCTCTCTCCTTTCTCTGTCTAGCTGCTATTCAGAGGCGGCGTTAGCTGCGACTCTAGTTTGCTAATCTCCTCTCGGCTCCATGACCTTCTCTGCTCAATCGATAGGCGCATGCACACACACGTTCACGAACACACCGGGGGGCATTTGACGCCTCTCTCTCCAGTCGTATCACCTAAAGCTATCTATAAACTCCCTCCGTCCTTCCTCCCACTGGGTCTTTCTCTCCCTGCTGACTCACGGCTCCCTGCAGCGTCGGACACCTCCATACTTCCCTTTATCTCCCTTTCTCTCCCCATCTCTCCCTCGCTCTATAGCTCTCCACCTCCTTCTGGCTCAGCCGCCCGAGCCGCACCGTCTGACGATAAATAATTCAGCAGCTCCAACGAGAGGATGAGAGGGAGGGAGAGGGAGAGATCTTGGGAGGAGAGGAGGGGAGAGAATGTAGATGCAAATAGGTGGACAGATGGATGGGTGAATGGATGAATGGCCAGGGCAAAGAGAAATAATAGAGAGACTCTTCCCAGCATGCATCTGATGGATGCAGACATGCAGCTGGTACAGCAGCTTTGCTTCACATCAAATATGACGTGGTACATTTGGAAAAATCTGCTATGAACTGATTTCAGGACAATTTTTTTAAGAAATGGTTTCATTCAATAATACTTATTTTAAAAAATAAGCAATATTAAGACATAACTCTGAGATCTGGGAAATGATGACTGACATTTTCTATTATTTTCTGGCCTTTTTTAGAATAAACAATTGATCAATTAATTGAAAACAAATAAAGAAACATGATACTAAATAAATAAATTAGTTGCAAGCCTAAATCCGCTGTTTAAGACATTTATCAAGGAAAAAATACATTTAAAATGTGAGTTTTTTTAGGCAAAAAAAAGGGTTTTAAACATTTAGACCCTGATTTAAAGTGATAATATTTTTAGAAAAAATTGACGTCAGTGTTTTTAAAATCCAGACTACAACCCCAAGATTCAACACCATGTTTGGGTAATGATTGCAACTTCTGTAGTCGTCCAAACAGCTGTATTTGATATTAGTGATATCTGTCTGCAGGCTCTTTCCCACATCTGAACTGTCTAAAAAAGTATTTTCTACCTTTATAATGGATAATAGCTTTTACACCTACTAGTTTATTCACCTCAGCAGTGCACAGGAAAATACTACCTTCACTGAAATGTTTTCCTGAATATTAATTACACAGATTGTTGCAGCCGAAGCACACAATTTATATAACATCACGGAATAAATTAGTTCATGTCGGTATGTTTGGTAAAAGCTCATTCGCTGAGCTTTCCTGTGAGCTTCATTCAAAATAGAATAAACTCAACTGTAACAAATAATATTTTAATCATATATTATGAGCTTCATCTCTGTGTGCGTGAGTTTTTATCGAGGGCGATGCTCTAAAAATAGGAAAGCTAAATGTAGCTTAGATTCAGTGGCATGGAGAGTGAAGCGGAGCGAGACTCAGTCGGACGTTTCCACGAGGAAGATGATTTATTGTGCTTCTGTAATTAATGACAGACTCAGAGTAGAGAGGCAGGGAGAATAATGCAGAGAGGGAACATTCAACAGCAGCACACATGCTGATGAATTTAATCAAATGATTGTTGCAAATTTCCACGGTCACTTAAAGAAGAACAGACGTTTTGTTTGTATTCTTTGGTGAGAGTTAGTTCATATAAGATAAGATAAGATAGAACTTTATTAATCCAGAAGGAAATGAATGTGCCAGAGTTTGATGAAAGATTACAACAGAAGAACATAAAAACAATAGAGTACAAATATAATATGTTGAAAGATGTAATATTGCACATATGTTCCTCTTTATAGTAAAATTGTAATTTGCTGGTAAAACGAGGGAGAAAAAGAGGAAGTTTTGGAGCGGCTGCTCACACGTTCCTCTCTAATCTCTAACCGTGTGTGAGTTTAACTGCTCTCACCCTGCAGACGTCTGCTGGAGGATCAGGAGTTTAAAGCTGCAGTCAGGAGTGACTGAGGTCACCTGGAGTTTACCTGGAGGAGGCCACGGATGGAGAGACCCCACATCTGCACACACACACACACACACACACAAAGAGAAGCAGAGAGTCTGCTCTTATTCCAGAAAAGAAATAAAGAATGTAAAAGTATAGAAATGAGATAAACTGACGTGGAAAACCTAGAGCACAAACTGAATTATTTTCACTTAAATTGCTAAGAAACCAAAAATAAATTGTCAGTGTCTTCATAATCAAATTTCAGGTGTGAATGCTGACCATTAACATGTTTTTTAAGCTGGTTTTGAAAGTGTGTCACTTTTACACCAACATAAAACAAATAAGGGATTTTGTTTTTGTTTTATCTTGAACACACAACTTATCTTTTCTGAACTTTGGGAGCTTTGTTGGATTCCCCCATGAGAACTTGTGTGTGCAGAAGACTCTACACAATCTCCATGTTGCGAAATAAAACACAATTTAATTGAACAATTAACTGAATAAACAAAATACTGTATTTCTGTGTGTGTGTGTGTGTGTGTGTGTGTGTGTGTGTGTGTCAGGTGGTTAAACATCTCCTGGGGGTGGAAATGGGAACATTTCTAAAATTCTGGCTGTAGTCTGGCACAATTTAAATGCATGATTTAAATATGATTCCAGGTCAGCTCTGAGAAGTGAATGCATGCAGAGCTACAAGTACAGTTTCTTTATTAGCATGTTAATTGATCAGGCTGCTGCTAAAGCTGATAAGCCTCACTCACGTTAAGTCTCCACCTGCCTGTCCGTCAGTAAACATCTCACCGTTACAGTGTCACTCAACACATTCACTTTATTTCATTCATTCATTTATTGTGTTTTGGTGCAACATGTCGCATCTTGCACATTAAGTTAAGAGAGGAACAAGGTGCCAAAAAGAAGAAAAAATAAATAACTCCGGTATACCAACCTGTGAAGACGCGCTTTGCGGGAGCCCCTCTTCCTCCGGTCAGTCCTCCGCCTCTCACCTGCAGGAGCCCCGCGGGGAGCCGCGCTGTTTATCGGGGAATCGGTTAAATTCAGCGGTAATCCGTTATCGCTCTTCTCTCTCCTCCGTTAATTCCGGGACGCTCTTCAGTGCGCCTGTGTCGGGATGTGTGAGCGTCACCGTGCGTAACAGCATCGTGCGCACAGAGCGGCTGGCTCTGGTACTTCCTGTTTGCAGGTTCAGGCTTCAAAATGAAAGCGCAGGTTTAACGTGATCAGTGTCATTTAAAAAAAATTAAAAAATTATTTTGTAATTATTAATACAGATATCTCACCCTTTTTATTCTTGTTTCGTGTATTAAATACATTTAATTTAATAATTAAATTGCCATTTATAAAATACTGGTCCGATTATAATATATATAGCTGTGAACAGTGACACAGTTTGTGCATCATTCAGTCCTACTGATGGCTCAGACATCAGCCTTATTTCACAAACAGACATTTATTTTCTCAGCTACATCAGCCTTTTAATGCTGCTGTCAAAGTTGTTGTATTTATTATTTTTAAGGAGATAAGAGTGTTCGATACTTGTGAAGCATTTAAATAAAATTGACTTTAGATGGGGCACACATGGTTATTTATATTCTAGATTTAGTGAAGCCTAGTACATGTAGACTTATGCTAAACTACACTTTCTCTGGGTTGGAAAACAACCACTGGATGCAAATTGTGCTTTTAATCTGAAAAGCAGAGCACCAGAAGTATTAAAAAAAAAAAAAGATGTTGCTTAATTGAAGAGTGGCACTCATGGACTGCTGTTGCCACATCTGCTTGAAGAGCCAGGCTGAATCACAGTCATTCGATTCCTTATTGAACCGTTTAAAAGAGGAAGGATACAAGTGCTTGATTTTGCTGTAAGCAAAATAAAAAACAACTTTCAGACAAGAATGCATTGAAATCAGGGATTTGATTTCCCTTCCTTCAACATGATACACAAATGAGACACAGATTTACTGGATGCTAAGCCAAAAGGTTTTATTACACTTTTCTACTGAACATGGAGATCACAGAAATATGATTTCAAGAACAGGTTTTGAAACAGTGTTTAAGTTGCACAGTCAGCAGAAAATCTATTTCCTAACCTCCCAGTTCCCCGTCTCAGGATTAAGTAACGTTCAACTCTGGTAGGAAAATAAAAGCGGGCTGTAACAGTATCGAGCACAACAGAAGTAACACCAGGAGAGGATTTTATGTATTCAAACATGTAATGTAAAATATGAGCCATTTTGTTTGGTCTGGAGTGCATGTTCAAATAAAGAAAGTGGATTTTAATGTTATCCTGGAGTTCATTATATGGTTTAAACTGGGTTGACGGACTGAAACTGTTCTTTTAACATGTTTACTTACGAACTGTTGTTCAATTAAAGTCATTATTTTTCTGTTTTATACCCCTTATATTCTGGGGAAGTACCGACTAACTTTAATGGGAACAAAATGCTCGTATAAATATCAGCAGCTTGGATACAAAAATGTTTCGTACCGAAATAAACAAAAACAAAAACCCAGAACACATTAGTTTAACCCTAATCCCTTTGGAAAGTTTATAATCTGGTCCAAGTGTGTTGACATTAAAGCGACAGTAACGTGCAGTGAAGAGGAAACGCATGCAAAGAGAGTCGTGTACATTTGTATCTTTACAGTCACTAACACAAGGTTGTTTCTAACTCTAGTGGATATAATGAGCGATCATATGTAATATTCTGTGTTCGAGTATTCGGTCGATTGATCGGATGCGCAAACAAAACTGAAATCTAATAAATTGTGTTGCGGGTGAGTTGTAGCATGATACAGGAAGCAAAAATAAAGAAAAAACAAATGAGAAGCACACGCGCATAATCAAAAATGATGACAAAACAAAAATGTCAAGTATAAAACTCTGGGAAACACTGTCCCCGACAAGTTGTTCCACTCTTCCAAGTGAAATATGAGAGACACTGCTCCCGATAAATACACACACACACACATACACTGGTAGGCAAAAACTACCATCACTGCTTGTCGTTATGGAAGACGCTGCTCCCGATAACGTGTCGTCATTATGGAAGACACTGCTCCCGATAACGTGTCGTCATTATGGAAGACACTGCTCCCGATAACGTGTCGTCATTATGGAAGACACTGCTCCCAATAACGTGTCGTCATTATGGAAGACACTGCTCCCGATAACTTTATCGTACTGTAAACTGCCCCAGAGTACACTGTGCAACATAAAATGGCTTTCTTGCAAATCATGGAACCAATCAGCTCAGTTTTCTGCTAAAAGAGAAGGGGGTTTAATTATGTTTTTATTATTCATTCTGCCACCAAGTGCAGATTACATCAAGTCTTAATTCCTGGGCTTGTTGGAGTATTTCCAAATATCCTAAAAACCCTTTTCTACCCTTCATTTCTCCATTTTAATGCGTTTTTAAATATAAATTACGGTGACAGATTATACGCCACTTTCTTGTGAAGTAATTTCCGAAAAATCTCCACACAGAAGAGAATAAAGGCCTTAAATATCTTTTATCAGGGGCTCCATTTAGTCAGCAACAGTTGAGGAGTCATTTGTGTAGCAGATGCTGCCGGAGGATTAGACGGTATAACCGTCATAATTATGGAAGACACTGCTTCCGATAACGTCGTATAAAAAGACAAACGATAACTTTATAGTGGACACTGCCACTGATAAATAAATAAGTATAAATAAAGTTTCCCAGTGTTTTGGCGAGAGGTCGCAGCCATGTTGTTTCAATGTGCAGCCAGGAGGAGAGGAGGCAGATTGGTCAGTAGTGTACATTTTTCTTCAAGTGATTAAAGTGTATTTTATACTTTTCTATCTCCTCCTGGATGTGGGCGGGGCTTCGACCTCTGATTGACAGCTTGTGCTTAAGTGCTGATATTGGAGCTCCTCCCTCTGCTTACCTCGGATTGAACGCCAACACACACACACACTCACAAGACACCCACGCTCACACCTCCCCCGGCTCGTCTTCAGATCTGCTCGTCGATGTCCCAGATGTTTCCCACCATGGCGTTGGCGCACCCCTGCAGGTTCCAGGTGGCCAGGGCCAGCTGTGTGCGGAGCTGCTCCATGTCGTTGGTCTCGGCGATGGACGCCAAAGTGTGGGCGCCCCGACCCAGCAGGAGGTGACGGAAGGGAGTCTCAACGGGGGACACGTACGGAGAGAGGAGGGTGTGCTCAACCTGGAACCATAAACACAGACCATCACACATCTGAGAGGTGATGAAAACGTTCTAATGATCGAAGATTGAATGAATATGCATGCGACGACGTAGAGGTGTCACAGTGTGCGTCTTACACTCATGATCCTGTCGTTGAGGATGCGACAGGCCTCCTTGTCGTTGACGTCGGTGTTGAGGATGTCGGTGTTGATGCTGCTGGCGGCGCGATTGAAGGAGCCGCGTGCACTGTTCAGCCAGTTGGGATTCACTTCCTTCAGCTGCCCAGACTACAGAACAAAGAGTCGAACAAGCGTTAACACAAACATATTTATAAGAGGAAACATTCTGGTCTTACCAGCTGGATGTCAAAACATAATAGGAAAGGAAACAAACGGAGTTTAGATGTGAAACCGACCTGCAGGAGCTGGTTGATGCGTCCGTAGACTTGGACCACGGCTTTGGTGATGACGCCGCTGTACCGGCTCACATCCAGGTGGAGCAGGTGGTCGTGGACCAGCCGCAGAGCCATCTGGCCAGCAAACTGTGCCGCAACCGCCGCCATGTCATCGGTGTGATGGTTGGTTTGGTAATCCAGGTGTTCCATGGTGTCCAGGTTGGTTCCGTAGTAAGTGTAGGACTCGGTCTGCAGACGCAATTTCAATATAATGTGCACAAAAACGGCACAAATATGTGGATTAACTGACTGTTCTGTGATCACAATTTAGGACATTTTTGCATTTCACATGTGAATGTTTTGAGCTAGCGAGGAAAAGTGATGTAGGTTGTGTACATCTTATAACTACAGATTGGTTTGCATGGAGACTCACGTTAGGAGAGATGAAGTGGAAAGAGATGGAGGGAATTCCAGAGAAGGCCAGGAAGGGATAGGCGGGGTCGTCCATTGTCATTGGCCTCAGTCTGCACACAGTAACGTGAAACAACTTCTTTTATTCTACAGCAAAAAGATGGATGATCTAATCTAGATATTCTTTATGTTGATTTGTGCTTCTTTGCAAGCATGCTGTACTAGTTTACTCCTCCGGTCTCTTTAAACAGGGTTACCATGGATCATGGGAATGTCTTAAATATCATTTTCAGAAATATTTCCCCACAGGATCCTGGAGTTGTTCAATTAAAGACGGTTACTTTGTAAACATTTCTCTTTAATGGTTAATGATGCCGGTTGTCTACTCACGTTTTGGCCTCCCAGTTACTCTTTCCCCCCATATCGTACACAGTGCCAGAACCGAGAGGGCTCTTCACCTGCATGGACGAGGCAAATCAAAATGAATGCAAACACCTCGGGGTTTGTACAGAAGTTGATCAGATTTAAGTTGTTGTTGTTGTGTCGTTACCCCTTTCATCGTGTTCTCCAGGAGGCTGTAGAGCAGCGGACTTGCCGACGCCATAAAGCTCCCACGACCTTTAGAGGAGATAAAGTCAGCCACTGGAAACCTTAAAACATGCGAGATGTAATGAAGGCGTGTGCTGTACTTACCCATGACCGCTCCATCCAGGCTTATGTAGCTGATAACACGTTTGTCAATAGAGGACATATAACCCTAAGCAGAAACACACACATAACAGAGAACATAAGTACTACAGGAGAGATTTTTGTTGTATGTCTAGCTCTTGTTATTTCAGTTCTTACCTCCAACCACTCGGTGGCGCCAACGCTTCCGTACTCTCCAGCACTCCAGCTTGCAAACACCAGGCTTCTCCTGGGTCTGAACCCATCTGGAAAACAGAAAACACATCATTGATGTCATGCAGGAGAAGAAGCTGTAACTCTGTAACAGAGAGTCCATGGTAATCTGCAACCACAAGAGTCCTACATACTGTCCCTTTAAGAGGTTACGTCTGTGTGCCTCCTTAAAAATGAAACTTTCAAGTCTCTCAGGTGAACACTGAAACAGGATTTTGCTTGCTGTGATCATTCCTCCTGTTAATACCGTCTATTAAAAGATCCCTTTCTGACATGATTCCAATGCAGGTGATGGAGGAAACAGACTGCTTAAGCTTTATATTAATGAATCCCTTGTGTTTAGTAAGCGTCGTCTTCGTTACCTTTCTCCACCATCTCGTGAACAGCCTTGGCCAGCTCCATCAATATGGAGGTGCCAACAGTAGCTTTGGCGTAACCGGTCTCCCAGGTGTCTCTCTGAGCTCCCAGTACAACGTAGCGATCTGCAGATTCACAAACAGACACCAAAGCGTTACCCTACATGTACGATGGAGATAAGATAATCCCACTGTGGACGACGACAGAGAGGAGAGAGGTACCAGGATCAGTGAATCCTTTGATGACTCCAAACACGTTGTGGATCTCCTTGTTGACCAGAACGTTGTTCACCTCAACGGTGATGTTCTCGCTGCCTCCCAGTCTGTAACTCACTGACGCCAGGCCGCCTTTAAAACCGCTGCTTGCATCCGATTCAGGACCTTCGATTTTCCTAAAGAGAGAGATATACAATTAATTACCTAGTAAACATAATCAGGGTTAATACTTGATGATAATGCTTCACCAGGAGCTCTATGAACAGCTGTTCCCCTCAGTGTGTGTGTGTCCTTACTGTAGAAGAGCTAAAGCCATGTTGGCGGTGATAGTCTGGGCTGGGATTTTGGGGAGACCGGAGGACTTGGTTGGGGGGAACTGTGTGTGGTTGAAGGAGGGGAATCCTGGGGTGTAGGGGTCGCCTGAACCCAGATGGACCTGCATGAGGACAGACACAAAGTCAATGCACAATACTGTACTTGCTTCATTGGCTAATGACGGCATGCTACACAACTAGTAGGTGCAGACTTACATGCCCGTAGAGGGCCGTGTCCGCTACATAGTCTGTAGTGTCGGGGTAGATGAGAACAGCAGCGGCTCCTTTGGCAGCAGCATTATCCACCTGAAGCAACACAGTCAGAGACAGGACAACAAGCTTTTAGTAGAAGAGACAGAAACGATACGAGGCAGAAGAAGCCGTCAAAATCTGCAGTCACCTGTTCTGCAAAACTGATAATTCCGGCTCGGAGCAGCAACACACACTCTCTCAGTTCAATCTTCTTGCTGTGCAGAACATCCAGATCCTCCCGACGGCCGTAGTTGCCATACACCAGCTTGCCCTACGAACACAGACAGCTGTAAGCTAAAAAAAGGCGACAAAGCCCCAGTTTACTGAGCCTTAAAAGACTTTTAATTGAAGTTGATTATTTAAGGAAGACTCACATGAACACTGCCAGTCCCACTGTAGGCCAGATACCCTGTAGGCTCGAAGACATCTGAACCGAGCATGACACGGTTTGGATGCTTGCTGCAGATAAGAAGTAAAAAGCTTGTTACAGTATCATGAATCTGTTTTCAGAAGTGTTTTCTACGGCAGCTTATTTTCTATAAGCTCCCTGCCTTTTATTTTTATTACCCGCACCCACTCGACCTGTTCCAACCTGCAGAAATATACATTAATCAACCATATCATAATTAATAATAATAATAATAATAATAATAATAATCTCAATACTTTAAGATTTACCATCCTCCCACCATTTCAAAGATATATATCCCTCAAATAAGAAATACCTGTCTGGCGTCTGCAGCTGAACGTAGTGGATGTCAGTCCAGGGATCCATCTCCACTTCCTTGAATTGATCAAAGATGCGGTTCGCCAGCTGGTTGTCTTCTGCACTTCCTGCCGAACGTCTGGGCAAATCAAAGTCACTGCGGAGACACAAATGGCCTGAAATGACTCTTCATGCCAGTCATAGATACACATCTGCTGCTTCTTCTTCAACAGAGCCTTTTACAAAAATTCACAGTGTAGTGTTATAGTTAGTCAAAACATCTTGCAGTGGTAGTTCAGCATTGTACGAATTTACCCTTCCTGCACTTTGTGTGACGATTCAAATCATGAATAGTTGAGCAGCTCGAGAACTTGGCTGTGGGTGCTTCTTTGTATCAGCGTCATCCATTACAGTCACGCAGCTTGTTGGGTATCATCCCTCACATGATCACTGTAACCTTCCTCTGTCTCATTTGTATTCTCTAAAAATAAAATGCTATCCGATCCCTCTCTTCCAGTTCATTCATATGGATTATTCCTCTCCCCCCCTCACAGGAAGTGGAAGGCTGTTGAGACTCACAAATCATCACCACATTAACATAAGATTTACTTTGGAAGGACTCAGCATACCCTAAAGTTTTGTCAAAAGCCTGGCTGGTGAGTTTCTGCGCGAGGAGTTGGGTGACGTCCTCCCAGTCCATCTGAACGTCCGGAACCGGTGCAACTGGTTCAACTGGTTCAACCGTTGCAGCAGCAGCAGTTGGCGTTACTTCAAGAGGAGCGTCCGTCTCCGTCTCTTTGCCACAGCTCACTTGCTGCACCCGAGTTTCACGGTGGCTGAGGTAACCAAGCAAGTAGCCTGGAGGGCAAACATTACAGAGACACGAGGAGCGGATTCAAAGAAAGTTTTAGAGCAGCTTTCGAACTCTACTGGTTCTCAGATGTTAGCACCGGTCTGCTGTGTGTTTTCAAATGCAGTAAAACATGAACAGCAATGCAAATTTCTTTGTGTGTGAGCAGTTAAGCCTTTATTTTTGCTTCCTTACTGCTGTAAGGTGCTTTACAAATATAGAGATCATTCAATCAAGTTTTATTATTATAGCACCATATAGAAATGGTTGGCAAATGATCGACAATACAAAAAACAGATAAAAATGGAGAAAAGATAAAGATTTGCAGTATTTTCCTTAGTTTCTCCCCCAATATATTCATAGTCATCTATTGTATGATTCAGATGATGATGACGATGACGATGATGATGATGAGCGTGTCTTACCGATGACAAATATCAGCAGGGTCCCCAGAGCCAGGTAGCAGATAGTATTTCGGCTCTGACGTGGAGGAGCCGGTCTGAAGCTCGGGGATCCCCCCGACGGGTCCTCTGTCTCAGAGGCCTCGTCCGACAGTTTCACCTCAATGTGTCTCTCTCCGTCTTCGGCCGGCTGCAGAGTGAACCTGCTGTAGCGCTCGCTCTTGATCTAGAGGCAGGAGAAGACGAGAGACCCGAGACCCACCAGACCCGTGTTAAAACCCTGACTCTGTCTGGTCTCCACAGAATGACTTTGATGCTGTGTCATCACCATTCATATTCCAGTGAACGTCCTGCATTCACGTAAAGAAGGTAACAAGTAAACTCTTACCATGCTGTTAATTGCAGACCTCACTCGATTCATCGCTGCTGCTGCTGTTGTTACAAAAACAGAGAGTGGGAGACGAGGTGAGGTTGGCAGGTTGTGAGAGACAAATTAGAAACACAAAAGCAGAAAGTAGAGATGGAGGAGGGTTTATAAACAGAGTTTCTATTCCGATCAGATGGCGCGTTCTCTCTGGAAACACGCAGTTTGTTCTTCACTGTAACTAACACAAGGCCAGATAATAGAGGAACTGACCTTCAGTCATTGTTTCCACATCACAACGGCGATACCGGTGTTTCATTTATAAACATGTCAGATGCAGACTACACAAAGGAGTCAGTCAGAGCATAAGAATAAGTGTCTGTTCCAACTGACAGAAACACCTGTGGTGTTACATACATCTTCTTCTTCTTCTTCTCACCACAGGGACTGGTGCAACACATGTATCAGTTTAACTCACTTCCTCATTACTGAGCTGAAGCAGGAAATAGCAGCTACTTTTAATTACCAATTATTCTGGCAGTTTCTTTTTTTATATATTTTCTGGATTATTCAGTTGGTCGTTTATTTTACTAAATGTAATAAAAAACTAAAATATTCAGTTAATTGTCATCAGCAACATTTTGAGGTTTGCTTGAAACATAACTACAATTATTAATGAATTATCAAAATGTTTGCAGATTAATTTCCTGACACGATGTCAGGAGGAAGCCTCATTTAAATATGTTTGCTGCATGTTGTTATTGTATCAGTTCATGAGAATATCGACCCAATCATTTGGTTATTAGCATCAGCTTCCAGTTGTATTAATTAAATTAAATAAACACGGTTACAGGTGAACGTGGAGTGTAAATAAACCGTTTGGGAGTGGTCACCGAAGGTTGCATCACATCTAAACTTACTTCATCATCACAGAACAGGTGACATTTGTAGCATCATTTGTAAGTTAAGCTAGTTAGCTTTACGTTTTGTGTCCTCCATTTTTATTTCGTTTGAGCTGGAGAGTCACGTAAACAGGCAATGCAACTCAACAACTAGTTGACTTTGTAACGCATAAATGAATAAAAAGGTCTGTTAATGTCAGTTGTCTTACCTTATTGCCGCTCAGACACCTTGCGTCTCCTTGATTGTGAGCTCCTGTCACTGCTCTTCATGAACCGCCCTGTCGCGTCGTGATGAGGGTCAGGACCGCCTAATGGTCAGGCCATATTACGCGAACCAATCAGGTTACCAGTACCTCGGTAAGCATGGACGCCTGGCCAATCCTAGCGCTTGATATCTCCAGAGGGCGGGCCTTGGCAAGAAGATCAGCGGGGTGGCACTTCCGCATAACGTCCCGTCGTGATTATTTCTTCTTGGTATTTAATATAGTGACGATAAACCAACGTTTAAGGTTTATGCCGCCATCGAATGTACCGGAAGATGTAGCATCATGGCTTTATGACAGTTTTGTAATTTAAAGAAAATAATGTTTATTTATATTTGTTTAGTGTTTATTTATCTAAACACTAAACAATGACACAACATAGGGTTGAATTATTTTAGGCTTTGTGACTTTGTTGACTATATTGGGGAGGTGCCACCTTTGAGTGTTTCCCAAACCAATCAGTAACTGACCATGAATTCTTTATGAGCTGAACGAGTCAATAGCATTTCCATTAATGTGGTTTTTCCCAAAGATGCACTTTATGGTTCCCTCTATAGATCAGCCTTAGCTAAATATCTTGTGAACAAGCTCCAGTAATGGTGTTTGATTTTAATTATCTTTAGTACACAGGGTTTGATTTAAATTTTGTTTCATATTTATTCTCATTATTGTCTACCCAAGATCTCCCTCATTGTCAGTGTTTTGGTACATTTTATAAAAAGACAAACAACTAGTTTAATGAAATCTCAAGTAAAGAGGTAAAAATGAAACACCACAGTAATGCATTTTGTTCAGTTATGTACATTTAACTTGGACGTGTCTGAAGTTGTTGTTCATCGTTGAAGGAGGCTCTTTTACAGTGAAGCTGGTCTGTATGAATAATCCCCTCAGATGGGAAATGATACTGAACTGATCTCAGAGACTTACAGTAATATGATCTCACTCTGCAGTGTCATCACAGATGGTTTCTCACCAGTCAGCACACAGCAGGGCTTCAATGTAACACTTTAGGAAGCTAATCGTCTCATAATAGGCATGTAAGCGAAAACTTCATTTTCAATTTAAATGAATGATCATTTTTTTATTGCTAAATCTATAGCCATCCATTGTCTGTAACTTATCCTGCTCCAGGTCAAGTTAATTTAATTAATTAAATAATTAGGAATCATTGCTTAATATTGATATAATAATCATTGTAAGTCACATCTTACTCACTGGTTTTCATCATACTTTCATACAAATAGTTCAATTTAATTTATTGAATTAAATGTTGTGAACTTTAACCTTTGCTGTTACAGTTAAATACCACAAATTGCCCAATCAACCTTCCGTGAGACTTGTGCTGTAATTTGCACAGCACATTACGGGTCGAGTGCACATGTCATGTGTAATTTATGCTGCGTTCACATGAAATCAGGCCGATGGTATCGACGGTAAACCCGGGTATGAATTTAGTGGAAAAGAGCAGGACTTTAACAGAGAATACCGATGCAGTGGTAACAGTAGACGGTTTCAATATTTATATATATACAGCATATAAAACCGGATGTATGCTGCTCCATCAAACAAGAAGAAAGTTTAATGAAATACTCAGAGAAAACTGCATTTTATGTTGTGTTTTATTTTAGGCATGCGTGTTACCATTATCTCACTTAACCGAATATCTAGAACCATAAAGAGGGTCTTGCTTTCTTAAAAAGTCAAACATAAGGTTCTGCCCCATTCATTTTCATGCAGTCCCTAAATGCAACATTTCAGATGCCAAAATGAATATATCCAATGGAGGGATTGAGGCGCTAAACAGAGTGTCAGTATACTGCTGAGGCTTCTCAGCGCGTGTGGTTGTGTGTTTTTCCACATGTACAGTAGGTGGCAAAATTGAATTGAGGCTGAGCACATCGTGCAGTAGCAACGCTGTCCCAGACGGTGTCACCTCAGAGCTTTGTGTAAAAACTACCTCTCATCTCCGGAGACATTAACCTCCATCTCTGGATGAGGAAACAATTTGTCTCCCTCAAGGCAAGCTGCACGCAGCAGCAGCAGCACAGATGGTGATGTTTGCTACTCCTTAGATAAACCACGCCATTTACATTTCAGAGTGGGTTGTTGTGCTCGTTAGGAGCCTGGTTGGATGAATGGATTCGTTGGCTGTTGTGGGACAGTTTGGTGACAGGATGGTCTCTCACTGTGCCACCGAATGGCGCAAGAATAACACAAGCAACCGAAAACAACTCTTATTTGAGATGCTGTACTATGATACTGATGGTACATTTTCAGCTTTTACACAACACAGGAGAGCTTTTTTTTTTTATTTAGCATTAAACAATGAGTCACCTTATGCAGTAGTTATCATAATGCAGTCCATAAAAATCATCTACACATTCAAGTCAAGGTCTGATCATCCCTCTTGCGTCACAGATAAATGAGATGCATTCACAAAACCGGTCGGTCATATGAATGCCATTTTCTCTGCTCTCTGCAGTGGTTAATCATATCAGATCTTCTTTATTGTCTGCACAGCAGCTTGTTCTGTCACTGCACTCCACCCAAGTGACAGCTGATTGTGAAGAATAATCTAAATTCCTCGTCTCTTTACTATCGCTGCATCATTGTGCTGCTGCCAGCACATTCATTCTGCCCTGCATGTCGTCAGATCCAGAGGGGACAATAACACTGCAGGGCGTAGCATGGTGTGTGTGTGTGTGTGTGTGTGTGTGTGTTTATCATATGTTTGACAGGGTGTCTGTTTATTTAAACTATCTTTTCGTGAGATCTACCTGAAACTATTAGATTACACTGATTATACAAATGCCATAGTCGATTTGAGTTCACTATATGATCTAGAATCCCCTCTCAGTGCAACGCTGAGGTATACTGCATGTGAAGACTTTGTTATCGCGAGATTTGGGCCACACAGGTGCGAGGCTATGAGCTTAGAAGGATGCTACATTCAAATGCTGTTGGAAATATTGGGGTTCTTAATGAAACGCTCATGAACAACCCTGAAAAACTGATAGAAGTTAGAAGATAGTGAATTCACTTGTCTATTATTTGAAGAATATAGAGCAGAATAAACATAATGAACTCTATCATATATACAGTATAATTAAAGTAAATTACAATTCCTTTCATTGGATTAAAACATAAAAAGGCCTTATATTAAGTCTATTTTAGCTATTTTTAGATATATTGTCACTATTTCTTACCGAGAAGTGTTTTTATTACTTACTTTACATCCTGTGTTTTGTATTTTCGTATGGTTTGTATTATTATATTTCTCGTTTCTAATATATGACTCAATCTTGATTATCGTGGTATTAAAATACCTAATTTTCCTGCATGTACATGTGGCTACCTCACCCTATACATGTGTAAAGCAACCTGTTAATTAATTGTTTTGTGTGATGATTAGTCAATAAACCAATTAGTCGATTGAGTCATTGTTTTTGTCATTTTTTTAAACAGATATTCTCCAATTTGATGATTATTTTTTAACATGCATGATAATCAACTGGATATATTAAGTTTTTGAACTTGTTTGTAGACACTTGTAGACATCACTTTTAGCTGTGGGATACTATAATGGGAAACTTTCACTGTTTTCTGGCATTTTATGGACAAAACAATGAATCGATTGATCTGGAAAATAATCAGCAGATGATTTATTAGTTGCAGCTCTATTCCAATTAAGCGCCATGCCATCAATAAAATGTATAACCTGGTATACCAGGAACAGTCATTTGTCATAACCCAGCCTGAGAGTTAAATTAGTTAGTGAGTTGTGGCAGTCAGTGTCAGTGATGTAAATGAGGATGTGTGTGAGTAATGGTTGGGAAACGAAACCATAGAGTTTGAAAAAGAAATGTTTATTCAAGAGGAACACGTTTGAAAATTGCATGTAAAATCTTCAAAATAATCTAATTGAATAACCATGTTGTAGCATGCCGGGTGAAATCCCCAATTTCTCTTATGAAACAGATCATTTTGAGCCACCACCATCTGCTCTGAGTGCATCACGGATTCAACAAATTGCGTCACATTGCTCCCAATTCTGGCTGTGGTGAAAAATGCAAATGGTGAAGTCAGAAATTACGCGGTGCACCTAAAGGCAACGAGAGAGAGAGAGAGCAAGAGCGAGAGAGAGAGAGAGAGCGAGAGGAAGGAATATGGTTTCATCAGACGCTCCTCCCGTTTCAGCGCTGCTTTAGCGGAGCTATACGAGCAGGAGGTTGAGGCTCGGTCCGGCACAAACCTCTCACAACTACCTTTCCCCGTTACCGACCAGCCTGCAGGAGCACTACCGGCACACCGGGACACATAAATGGGTGAGATGCGGCACTTTTTTTTTTTTGGTGTGCTCTTAATTTAGAGAATGCGCCCAAAAATAGCCTCCGGCGCCTCTGCGCATCTGGATGGGCAGGAATAAACGCCCGGTCCAGATGCGCGCGGGGTTCAGCCTTCTCTCCTTTCTTCCTTCCTCTCCTCCTCACCTCACCTCACCTCCACTCTGACGTCGCTTCATGACATCGCCGAGCTGTTTGCAAGAGACCGCGCGGGTCTTCTTTTTGGCGTTTCTCAGCGTTGCCGATGCTTTTTATTCATGGTCAGAAAGCTGCGCGTGGGTGTGCAGCGCCTCGGCCGCGCGGGTGGGATTTTAGGAAATCGGCGGGTCACATTGATGAGTTGCAGATGTTGACACGTTTACATTCACTGCGTGTCTGTCTTGCCCATTGTGTTGCACAGTGTTTGACTCTCTCTCTCTCTCTGTGATTCAAACAGGCCTGACTGTGACATTCCTCTCATCCTCGCCATACTTTCCACCGCGCTGCTGCACACAATGCATGACACTTAACTGATCGCAGCAGGTTTTGCAGGGCGAGTAATCAATCAATTAAGTGCATGTTCAAATCTGCTCATTATTTGCCAGTTAGCCATGACCGGGCCGGAGGTGGGAGGCTACTTCCCTTTTTTAGTCATGCTACTTTTTCCATCTGTGATACATTCCTTTGATTGTCAATTAAGAGAATGTTCTACAACATAATGAAGTCAGCCCCTGTATGCATATACTTTCTATTTGACCTCTGTCTCTGCTGCATGTAAACAAACAATGCACAGCAAGAGTCAAGGGAAACACACACACACACACACACACACACAATTATAAACAGCCGTCAAGGCTGGATGACCAACTGGGAGAAGCAGGCGATTTCCCCATGGGCCTATAGCAGATTCACTGTGTGGCTACTGTGGCTGCTTAATTAATTGCAAAATTGGCTGTAATATGCACCACTAATGAGAGCTGGAATGGAAATTACAAGGGCCTTTAAACGTGTCTTAGCTACACCTGTTTTTATATATTCATATGTTACATTCACAGGGTTCATATCCCTTTATGAATCTAAAGGGTTATGCAATGCAGGAGGATGGTGGTGATGGTGGCAGTGTCAGTGGGGGCCCCCCAAAGTAGGTTAATCCATCCATGACATTTGTACATGAGGAAGAAGTTGCCTAATTCAAGATATTCCCTCGGTGGCCACTTTATTAGGTACAGCTGTACAATCTAAACACAACAGTTCTGCTATAGATTCTACCTTTTAGACATTTTTATAATGTTCAGTTTTGGGCAATTAGAAATAATCAATGCAGACGAGGGAGTACAAACACTTTGTCACAAAGTAGCATGCAACAGGGCGATGAGTTGAGCGGAGAATAGTTGTTATTTTCCTCTTTAATGTGGGAGAATTGGTTGAAGTCTGTGATCCGATCCAGAGTGGGAGTGGGTGGCTTTGTCTCCCAGTGGGCTTCAGTCCAGCGTGAATGTTTTACAGACAGAAAATACGCAGCTGCTCTTGACATCATCAGCGACGGCACAGAAACAAACCCACAAACTAAACACAGGTCTGCTGCAAAACCAGTGAAACGTCAGTGTGGCTTTGCAGAGCTCGGTGTGTCTGTCTGTGTAGTTTCCTCTTATCTAAACTCACTGCAGCTGATCAGAGGACGCCACGGGTCCATCTCGGTTCCTGTATGCGAGTTTGCTTCCCGACCACTTGAGTGGGAGTTTGGTTTTGTCTGCAGGCGTTTGAGATATTTGGTCTTTTGTCTTCTCAAGGCCCCTTCAAGTCTTTCACACAGTGTTTAGTGTGTGTGAGTAAGGCTGCTACTAACAATCGTTTCCTCGATTAATCATTTAGTCTTTGAAACGGCTTGAATTAGTGGAAACAAAAAACAGACAACTTGCCAAAGTGACATATTTTTTCGACCAACAGTTCAAAAACAAAGACATATATAATGTACCATTATGTATGCTATTAAACAAAGCCCCAAATCCTAATATTTGAGATGCTTTTTTGTGTGAAAAATGACTCAAACGATAGATTACTGCGCAAAACAAAAGCAGATTTATTTTCTTTTGAATGAGTAACTTTGGTTACGCATAAAGTTGGTTTGACATTAGTTAGCGCAGAACGAGTCTTTCTGGCTGTGAGGCTACAATTGGATGTGTTGGTGGGAAACGTGGATGAGTGAGCTAACATTAAGCTAGTTTTTGCTTTTTAGGCTCTTGTGAACATTTTCTGTTGCTTTCTTCCACACATTTGATCCAAACGTAGGCCTACTTCATTTAGTCATGCCCTTGTTAGCAAATACATAATGCAGCCATCGAGCAACAACGTTCCTTTGGAGTCTTGTTTGTGTCCAATAATCGCCCTCCTTCAGCACCGCTTCAAACTCCACCAACTCCTGACTTTGTAACTTTCCCAACAATGAGCTAAAATAGGCTAATTAGCTTCTTGGCGCTGTTTGAACCATTCGTTTAACCCTGTTTCTCCACTTACACTTGGTGTTAACATGCTCTCTGTGTGCTTTTCATGGGCCTTTGCTGGTATTTAAAAAGCATTCTTGTTATCTTGATTCTGCACGCGTTGTGATCAGATCTCAATGTGCGATGTGGTGCTTGTGCACGAACCTTTGCACGTTTATTCCAGGCGTAAATGCAGCGACCCCCTTATTTGCAAACATTCCTCAAACAGGAGTAAATAATGTATTTGTTGGGGGCTAATTTCAGCTGTGTAATTTGGTGCTCGGGCGAGTATTTATTTAAAGCAGCAGGACACAGTGCATGTGGAATTGAGTCAGAATAAACTACAGCGTGTGTGCTCGTGGTAATGAGTGCAACAGGGTGGCTCACTGATGCGTTTTTTAAATAGCTTTTGGATAAGAATGGGGGGAGCTATATCAGGCATTGGATGCACAGACAGCAGATGTTTTCAGGATAAATTCATTGATGGTTTTGGTTCTTTCATGGGAAAAATATCAATTGTTTTTTACACCGTTGCTGGTTTTTTGTAAGAGTCTGCTGTGAGTCTCATATTGCTCTATTGTGCATCGCTGGTTCACATCTATTCCTTCATCATCTAAACAATGAAGGCTGTTTGCTTTTGTCAAATCGTATCCGCAAAGCTCGGATCCCCTCTTCCTGCGTAGCTTCACACCAGACCGAGCTCCACTCCGGAGCCTATTTGGCGTTAACTTTGTGTCACTTTTAACTTGCACCCGTCTTTGCACTCGGCTCTGTGCGTTCTGTGCAGAGCCACAAGCTGTCGTCTTCTTCAGTGGTGTATGTGTTGTTGACTGACGTGGACGGGTGGGTGGACCGCAGCGTGTTTGTTCCGTACTGCCACTCAGATGCGCTGTGATGTGGTTTGCAAGACGACTGCCACAAGCTATCAATTCCCTGCACACACTTATCTTTACGAAAAAAAAACTCTCCTTACTTCCACCCTCATGAGATGTGCTGCTTCCCACTTCCCCTGAAACTGTATTTTTGTGCCACGTCGCTGTCTCATCTGCGGCTAATCTCTTTTAGTTATCTCATGCCAGATTCGTGTCCTCCCCATCTGCGCACCAGGACAACTTGGACCACAGTTGTCTGCTCGGTGTTGATCCTCCTCTGTTCCTGTGTCTTTGCAAACACTCAGCGACACCCTGACCTTCCACTTTAACTGCTTTCACAAGAAGTTTGGTCTTGTGGTCACTTCTGCCCAGTTTCCTCATTTGGCCTGTTGGTGTGTATATGTTACATTATGCATATGTGGATGAGGGGAGGAAGCCGGTGTCGCTGAGTCTGAGTCATAGCTACCCCCTTTTTATGCTGTTGTTCCCATGGTTACCCCCCCCCCCAAACCCCCCCCCCTTCACCCCCCCCCCCCCCCTTAGCTGCCCACACAGTTTAGACACACAGAGGCCAATATGTGTGCGAGTGTGTGTAAAGTGTTAGAGTTAAGAAAGATGTGATATAAGTATTAGCAGCCGCACCAGCGGTCACAAGGTGTTTTTGTGTGCTTGTGAATGTTTGTATGCCTGACGTTTTTAACATATTTTACATTGAATCACTTCCAGCGGCTCGTAAAGGGAATGATAACTCTCTTTCCTGTTAGATTTTAAATGACAGACTGTACATTTCTAGCTACCTCGAGCAGCAACCGTGTACAGTGATATGCTCATTATCACTTTTAGTAATTAATCATCATCAGTACTACACTAGAGTTAGCACAACAGATGTCAAGATGTTTATTTACATCTTATTCTTACCCTATTTTTATTTGCTCATGACTGTCTGAAGCCTAAGAATATCGCCGTCTCGTTGCACTGGAACATGTGACAGTGCAAAAACCTTTTAATGCGAGTCATCCTGGAGTTTTTCATCCCTAGTAGCGCAATGCAGGATTGTGCACGGCTGCACTTGAATTGTACATGCTCTCAAGGATGCATTTGCACATGATGTGCACAAAACTATACACAGTCACGCCGGCAGTTTAATGTTATTCCGCTAATCGACGGTTTGTTGCGGCAATGAGCAAAGAAGTCTAGGAATTTGCTAACGAGAGACAAGAAGAGGAAAAGGCTGTAAGTCAGCAAACATGGATGTAAAGTATGCAAGATTTTATGTTTTAAAACAAAAAATAGGGTTTGTAAGTCCAAATTCAAACGGAAAAATATGTGGTCTGTCGTTACAAATCCCGGGGGAACTATTATTATTATTATTATTAAGGATTGGTTAGGTCGTGGTCAGGGTTAAAAGAAACCAATGTTGATCGCGGCTGGAAACGAACAGCGGTCTCTTTTTCACTCCATAAGAAGAACGTCACGTGATGTCATTGGGGGTAATGACTGAAACCACTGACGCCGAATGTAAACACAACCTTCGCTTTTAATAAGTGAGAGAAAACCTGTTTGAAAGCGACACTGTGATCGATGAGTCCAACATGACTTTATGTTGTAAAGATGGAATTACTAAATGTCCATGATGATGAATTTACCATTTGACTTGTGACAGCACAGGGAACTCCAACTTCCCCGTTGTCTTGCCCTTTATTTGTTTGTGATGTATTTAAGGAAAGGAAAACACTCATCAGAATGAGAGCTGCAGCAAAGAGGAATTCAATACAGTTTACTTCAACTCTGCAGTGTTTCAGGTCAGAGTAAATTGCAGTCTGTTGTTGTAGGAGTGTGTGTGTGTTTATCTGTGAGGTGTTTGTCTTTCACTTTCACTTATGAATCAATAAAAAGAAAACCGGCAGAATCATCACAATGTAAACCACCGTACCAGAGAGTAAATATAGAACAATGTGACACCTTTGCTGTTTTGACCTTTATACAGTATATTGCGGTTTATTGATGACACACTTACTCTCTCTTTCTCTCTCTCTCTGTCTTCCAGTGGAGGCCGTGGTGGAGTTCGACTATGAGGCTCAGCAGGATGATGAGTTGGGCCTGACGGTGGGCGACATCGTCGTGAACATACGGCGGGACGATGGAGGATGGTGGGAGGGCGAGCTGGGCGGACGCAGGGGCCTGTTCCCGGATAACTTTGTCAGGGTGAGTCGTCGCAATATATTTCCTCTGCTCGCTCTCACTCCCTCCATAAAACCCACGAGAGGCGCTCCATAAATAGCAGCAGAGTAAACATGCGGTTTCCAGTGTGTCACTGCAGTATGGCTGTTGCATGGGGCGTTTGTGTCTGTGCTCTGAAACTCTCTATCAGACGTGAGAGTTTGACGTCTTTTCATGCTTTTTTTTTTTTGTAAAGTTTAGGATCAGACAAAAGAGATAAATTTAAGTTAAGGTTGAGTTTGTGGTCAGATTTGAACTTGCACTGCCTGAGGTGGGTGTGAATGTGAGATTGATGTTTTCAGAAATTGTTGAACGCAGACCCACGCAATTCCGATGTCGGAAACTTCTGTGAGGAGGGAAGTTTTCAGAAGCCGTTTGTCCATCCGACAAGCACTTCTAATGAACATGTTTAGATGCTTTTATGATAATAAAAAAACAACATTTTTGTCATACTGTCTCTCTGAAAATTCCTGTTTCCATCCTCGGTCTCAAACGCTGCGTTTTAAGCCGACAGTCGGAGGGGGAATCTGGTCCTGGACCTTGGTTGGTACTGATTTTTGGTTCAGACTTTCTGCTGATGCGAGGCGTTTTACAGCCCCATCAGCGCCGCTCCGATAGTTTCAAACATGTTTTATATTTACAGCGGCTATAACCACAATAGCCAATGAGAGAGACGAGCCGGAGCAGCTGACGGTGTTTCCTAAGCATCGGTTAATGTTCGAGCCCTTGAGGCTAACGCTAGCTAGCATGCTACTTTTGATGGACATTAAAACTGAACTTTAAAATCTAAAATCTCACCTGAAAAAAATCTGACTTTATTTTTACAATATGGGAACTTTGAGTTAGAGTACATTGAGAGGCTCCACCGGTTGGTAGTCTATCCTTAGCTGGCAGCGATAGCAACAATGATCATACTTTTAACAAGAGGCAAAAAATGTCAGACTTGTTAATTCCGCAAATCTCATGACTTCCGCTTTCTCTCCCCTCTAAATTTTCGTGTCTGTCTTTGGTACATCAAGCTGACTGATCACACTAAAGCTGTGACTGCACCACCGTTACCACCAAACGGTGAGGATACAGCAACACGAGTCTGTAAACACTTGGGGTAAACATGAGGGTTTTCTATGAATACAAAAGCTGCAGAGACATTGACATAAATCTCCAAACTAAGATTTTTATTCTAAATTCTTTGCTACGAATCAGAGCTGGAATGATAAGCAGCAATTTGGACAATCGATTTAAAGTAGTTATTGAAGCAAAATTGCTAAAATGTGAAAACCATGCTGGTTTTCTGTATCTTCTTTGATAGAAAACCGAATACACATAAGCTTTGGATGATTGATCGGACAAACCAAGACATTTGAAGACGACACATTGAGCTCTGGGAACATGTAATGGACCATTTTGTTACATTTTATGGGCTGAACAATTAACTGATTAACCAAGAAAGTAATAAAGATGCATTGATAATGAAATAATTAGTTAGTTGCAGCTCAAATTTGCGTGTCCTTGGGTGATGGGGACAGTCAGGGCGAACCTCCCTGTTTCCTTCCAGTGTTTCCGGTGGCTCAAAGTAAGTGAGACGTGTAGGTGTTGGAGAGAAGATTCGGCTTCTGGTATGAGTAGTAAAACAGTGTGCTCTGCGGTAATGAGAAAGGGGGAAGTATCTTGTTCACTGTACTATGAGGGGGAAGTAGAAAAGTGTACCGCAAGGCAAAGGCAGAGAGCAGCGTTCACATTTCGACAGCGCCGCTGAAGAAGTCAGTCTGTCGTCAGGTTTGTGCTGACTGAATGTCACAGCTCTCGTTAACTGTCAGGGAGCTGGACAATGGGCCCGTGAAGTCCGTGTGTGTGTGTGTGTGTGTGTGTGTGTGGCTGTGAGTAATGCCAGACTGGTGTGTCACAAGACTGCAGTTATGGGAATCAGCGACATTGAGCTTTGCCAGGCTGATGTGTGTGTGTGTGTTTGTAGGAAGTGTGGGGGGGGGGGGTGTGGACAGACAGTTTGAAAAGGGGGACAGGAAACAGTGGTATGCAAGCAACCCCCCCCCTCTGGTGCCGTCATGGCTGACAACCGGCATAACACGGTGAAGGTCAATGAATTAAGTTTTTCACAAAAACAGTTTTAAAGATGTTTTTTGTTTAGTTCTTTAGGTCAGCTCAGGTTAACAAACTGCTCATTGAGGACTGAGCGGTTAATTCAGCGACGCCACCGATGTTACGGAGAGTCATGAGATTTATTGAAGCCTGGAGCAGTTATCAGCTGTCCAACTAGCTCAACTGATTTTTATCTTAAAACCAGATTTGGGGGGGGAGTGCTCAGCTCTTAACATTAAAGAAATATCTGCAGAGATATTTTGTCGATAGCTGCTCTCAACTGCTGTTTCTCAAGATCAAGGACCTCCAATATTGCACAGAACACTTTTTAGAGGCTGTTAGGGCTGCAATCGATTCATCTGTGAGAACGTCTGGAAACACTCTGTGGTGTTTGTTTATTGGAAGTGCTGGAGGTCAGACGAGCAGGTGTTGCAAATCAGAATCACATGCTCTGATTCGACATTAGTGCTTATTGTTGTCCGTCACGGTGCAGAAGTCACCGCGGACGTTTGAAAAGTAGCAAACCTGCTGACGGTGACGCTCTTCTTTATTTGGTCGTGCAACTTTACTTCTTTTGTATTGGCAGCGGTTCCCAGTTGACCATAAACATTTAAACCTCTTTTATATAACTGACTGATCGCTTCGTCTATAAAATGTGAGAAAATACCGATTTTACTATTAAAGCTTTTCAGATTCCAAGGTAACGTCTTAGAATGCCTCGTTTTGTCCAACTGAAACTCAAAGATATTCAGTGACACGTGCTGTGTATATAAAACTATAAAGCAGATTCACATTTTAACTCTTTCAGCTCTGATGTCAACCATAAAGGCTCACTAGATCTGTATAGAGAAAAACGATCTTTATAGCAGTTTGTGTAAAATAGTGCTCGTCTTCGACCAAGGAAACTCTTAGTTGACTAACACCGAGTTTCCCCACAAAGAATCACACAAAAGCACCACTTTTAACCAAAGATAATTTTCTTGAAAATAAGTCATTCAGCATTAAAAAGCATTAAAAAATGGCCAAGACGTCCAATCAGTGTCTCTGAGCCAGTATGACCTGTGCAGAGAGTTGTTGCAATGATAACGGGCTTCATGAAAGGAGGGGAAATAATAATTTGCATCATCGTTCGTCTGCATTTCACAATGATTTTTTTACAAGCAAAGCTCTCTCTGCTTCCCCCTTCTTCTTCTTCTTCTTCTTCTTCTTCTTCTTCTTCTTCTTCTCTCTCCATATCTCAGAGTTACAGCTTCCTTTGCGCTGCTACCATGGCGGCTGCTACACTGCATTGTTTTTGCATTATCTGTGACTGTGACAGAGAGAGAGAGAGAGAGAGAGAGAGAAGTGTCAGAGGTCTGCTGAGAGGGGATGCACAAATCGGTGTTTGGCATTGAAGCCTAAACTACATACAGTAGACGTGACGCAGACAAACACAACCAGCGCTGCAGTGTGGATTCTGCAGGTGTTTCCTGTTCAGATATGATGAATCACGTCGTCTTCCTCTCCTATTTTCAGCTGGGTTTCCTCTGACTCTGTTACCTCCGTATCCCCGCAGGAGGAGTTGCAGCAGAGCATGATTGCAGTCCAAGCAGTAACAAAGGCCTCCGAGTGCAGCGCAGTTACTTGTCCTTGATTTTCTTTTTGCAGAACCGTGCAGCCATTGTTCTCCTGTTCCAAAACTCAGATGTATAAATGATTTAACAGAAGCAGCCTTAATAGATAGCAGATGGATATAAGAATGTATGTTGCTTTTCTTGAAGCATAAAGCCAAACAGCTTCTCCTCCACCACTCGTAAAAAAAGGAAAGCTGCTGGCGAACGAATGGCCGCTGTGTTTTTTATGGGTTTTTTTTTGCGTAGGTTGGCTTGTGTCTCCGAGTTCAAAGTGTTTTCGTTTTTTCACCAGTTAGTCTGTGCGTCTGTGTAGGAGAGTTTCTGAATGAGTGTGTGTGTGTGTGTGTGTGTGTGTGTGTGTGTGTGTGTGTCTCTATATCTGTTTTTGCAGTACGTGAAGGCATGCAGAGTTGGAGCGAGTCCATCCGCACTCTGACTGCAGAATCAATGTCTTTCTAAGCTCTAGTACCACATCAGCACTGCATTAGCCTACTTAACCAATGCAAACGCCACACCACGTGGAAAGATAAGTGTGAATGACCTCAGAGCAGAAATAACGAAACATAGCAGTTTAAAAAAGAAATCTGCCAGTTTTTACCACCTCTGAGTCTCACAGCTCTCAGTCATTTCACTGAAAATGCTCCAATAAACAGAACATACATTAACTTGCTTATTGTTGTTGTTGCTTGTAGTGAGATGAGAAGATTTACACCACTCTCATGTCAACGCTGTGTCCGCCGTGTTTATAGCTTCTTCTTGGATGTGTGCTTATTGTCTGGCACTTGGTCGCTACGTTTTTATAGAGGTTCACACCCAGAAACATCCTGAACACAACAGAAATCAGAAAATGCAGGCGGAGGGCCAGGTCTCCACAGATACAGACCACGCTGCACACTTCTAGAGGGGCATACGTGATGATTTACAGAGATTTTCTGGTTTTATTTTACTCCTTGTGCCTTTTTAAGTTTCAATCCATCACTTCCTGTTGGAAGAAGAGGGCACACACCACATGTCAGAATTTAATTGGCCTTTCATCTCTTCTCTGCCAAATGAGTTTGCTTCTTTTTTAACACAAAACCCACACTTCCTCCAGCGCCATGTCCAGTCTCCAACCTGTGCAGCTCCTAAAATGGCTCTTAGCCCAAGATGATCTTCGGCTGTTGTCTAGGAAACGTCTTCTCTTGTTGGTATTTTTGGATCTCAGAGGCTCATTAAGGCTATTTTTTTTTTTTTTTTTTTCCCACACCAGGCCATACACAAACCAGAGTGTGTGTTTGAAGCGTGAGTCACTATACCAGCATGCTCCACTGAGCCGCGTTGGCCACAGGGGCCGGGGCTGATGAAACAGTGTCATGATGAATGTGGTGGGGATATGTGAGACGCCATGTCTACTTCTTCTGGGTCTCTGTGCGCGAGCGTCTCCCCCTCTCCCCCCCCCCCGTGTGTGTGTCGTCTCCCCATCTGTCCGCTTGTTGATTCGTCTGTCGCGTGGCGTATTTGTTTGCCCGTTCCCTGGATCAGTTTGGCACGCCGTCTCGCGATTCTTCACGCGAGTGAAAGTCGTGCTGACGGAGAGGGGGAAGGTTGTGTTTGTGTGTTTGTGCAAGCTGAAGGTAAACAGTGAGGCTCACCTGGGTTACTGACATCTAATACTGCAGCGCAGCTGGGTGAACAGAAAATACAACGCAGTTGCATTTATTGACAAGCAAGTTTATCTCATAACAAATAACCTTTATTATTTTTAGTATCTAACAGTTATTGAATTTAATTTTAAGATTTTATTCAAAATGTGGTGCATCAGTGTCATTTAAAATGTAGATGATTGTATGTTTGTGCTTGATTAAAAAAGTTCATGTGCTATATTGTTTTTATAATAAAGTTGCCATTTAGACAAACATGCAGCTTTAAAGATTTCGTTCCCCTCTTTCTTTCTCTGTCCTGTCCTCAATCGTGCCGTATTTTTGTTTCTGTAACTTTAAATTTGTCATCTGAACCGACGTTTTTTTTCATGCTTCCTCACCTCCTCTTCCTCCCCCACTAATCGTCTCCTGCTCCTCTGTCTTCGTAGGAGATCAAGAAAGAGGGGAAGAGGGATGGAGGACAGGCGAGCATGATCAGATCTGACCTCTCCAATGGGAGAGCCAGTCCCGTGTCTGACCCCGGCGTACGATCGGGCAGGAAAGGTGCTCAACTCACACACACACACACACACACACACACACACACTCATATATGTTAGTCATCAGACAGGTTTAAGTCTTCAGTCTCAAACATCGATCCAATTAGTGTGAGGAAGGATTTGGGTCAAGCATTCCTCATACACACACTCAGTATACACACGTGGTCGAATCTAAATACTAATTTGAGGTACTTCTACTACTTCTCATGCCACTTTATACTTCTACTCCAACAATTAGTGAAGTTGTACTTCACTAATTTACCTGACAACATTTGTACAACAGTCATGGCGGTCAATTATTTACTTTTAATAGTTTAAGCACATTTTCCTGATTATTTTCTTTTACATTTAACTTGTAATGGAGTATTTTAACAACGTGGTATTAGTACATTTACTTAAGTAAAGGATCTGAAGTATTCAGACCACCACTTACTTCTTATACACTTAATACTTATTACTCTAATATTGATATATGTTTGTATTTTTACTCTAATTGTTTTTTCTTATTCTTATATTGTAGTCTTTGATCAATCTCTGGCACAAGAATATATGTCTCATCTTATACTGTACATGCATACACACGAGGGGGGACACCTTGTGGACAAAAGAGGAATCGCAGGGCTTCGTCTTAACGCCCCATCTGGTGTGGAATGAGTCAAGAGTAATGAGCAGGCTAATGAGTGTAAGACAAACAACTCAAAGGCCGGTGGGAGGCGTTTTGGTGTCGGAGCTGGTTGGTAAGACTGTCCTTTAATTGAAAGGTCAAAGGTCGGCATTACAGTCTTCAGCCACAAGGGCTTTTAATAAGT